AGGGCGAGGATATAAATTAGATTAGTTAAGCGGGGAAATTGGACGTAAATAAAGAGACAGAGGCGAGGGTAGACCGCAGGAAATTAATTAATGGCGAATACCCTTTGGCTCCAGCCCAGCCTCCAGCGTCTCCTGTCATTAGGCCTGGAGAAAACTTCTTCCGCCCACCGCTAGACGCTTCCTACTCTAATTTTCATTTATTCCATGCATATTAAAATTTGACAGCTTATGCGAAACCAATGAAATACCTACCGCAACGTTTTTTAGTAAGATTGAATGAACGAAAATTGCATTAACTTAATATATATATATATATATATATATATATATATATATATATATATATATATATATATATATATATATATATATATATATTAATCCGCGTTCGAAAAGGAAATACATTTTTTAAGGTCCCCTCAGTCCAGGGTTACCTTACAAGGTTACCAGGGTTACAGGCCGATCATGTATTTTTGTCCTAAAGTTATCTGAATCCTTCGCAAAATCCGCTAAATTTATCCCTAAATGTTTTTTTTTTTTATTATTATTATTATTTCTTAATGATATTTACAACTGTATAAAAAAAGTACATCTAGTAAATTTGAACATATGGATATATTGAAGTGAAAACACTTGCTGAGTAACTACCCAATGGTAGCACTCTAATGATATGTCTACATTAGGAAATCATGTGGCCGTCTTCTTTTCAGACGCCTCGGAGGGTTCAATCATGAATTGTAGAGGAAGCAAGGTTAGAAACGAGAGGGTTAGGATGATTCTGAAGTTTATTATAGAAAGATAGGTATCTGGATTGGGCCAGATCTGAAGCATAAGAAACATTAAGTTCATGATGGATAGTTGTATTTGCAAAGTAGGGAGCATTGAGGATTTTACGAAGGATTTTTGATTGTAAAGATAGAAATTGATGGGAATTCGATGGTTTAGTAGAGCCTCATAGCTCAACTCCGTAAGTCCAAATAGGCCTTATTATAGTCATGTATATGAGTCTTTTGAAATTAATTGGAGGTTTAGAGCGTTTGTCTAGTAAGTGCTGTAGCAATCGGAAACGTCGGTCGGTTTCTTGTCGTTTCAGTCTGGTGTGAGGATTACAAGTTAGTAGTTTGTCCAGGTGGAGTCCTAGGTAGCGGATTTGCTAAACAGTGATAAGTGGAGTATTGTTAAAGGAAACTGTAGGACAGCCAGTGATTGGTTTACAACGAAGGGTAAAGGTAATTTGGTGAGAATTATCGGAGTTTATCCTAAATGTTTAGGCCTTATTTTCCTATTTTATATTTTTTTTGTGTGTGTTTTCCATCTCTGCTTATCCTGAACTATTTATATCCTGCTATCTGCACGCAGCTCTATGGCTTTTTTTAATTCGATGTGTCCATCAGGTGTTTGCCCTTTCACGTGGTCTCTTGCCTACTATGGAGGAATTCATTGTTGTGTAGAGGCTTCCAGATGGTTTATTCCGAGATCCGCGTCCACTCCTTTGCCTTCATATCACAAGACATCGATTGAACAGTTTCTATAATCAGCTCTTTTTTTATCTCTTCCCTGCACTAGTACCCTGATTCCGGATGGCTCCGGTTGTCATGTGTATGATTTTTCTCTCAGATCTTTCAAAATTTCTTTCTAGAGTGCTGCTGATGGTTCACGCTACTTGTATTGGCATTTGAATACTTTTTTTTTTTTTTTTTTTTTTGTTCTTCCCTACCTCGCCTTTTAGGCTATACGGGATTTTCTCGGGCCGGGGGGTGAGGGCGGGGAAATTTAAAATCCCCTCCGGCACCGGGACGCGAACTCGTACTTTTTATATCATCTCAAATCTCTGTTATCCGGTTGCCAGGCAACTAGCGGTGCTGTTACACATGCTTTAGCCTATTCGGCCACCCCACCTCCCGACATTTGAATACTTTTAATTTTTTTTTTTTTTTTTTTTTTTTTTTTTTTTTTTTTTTTTTTTTTTTTTTTTTTTTTTTTTTTGAATACTTATAAAAATATCTATATCATCTGCTAATGAAACATAATTAAGTAAACTGACCATATTGTATCCCTACATTTATCTCAGTTGTCCCCCTGAATTTACCAACTTGATGAACCATGAATTTTTAAACCTTATTTTTCTATTATTTTTACCAAAATTATATCTCTGGAATAAGATGACGATAATTAAAAAAAAAAGCTCACTTCATTTTATTTTATTTGTAGATGATACAGCTGTTTTTGTAAGCAACCAATAAAAAAAGCGAGAGACCCCCCAAGACTCTGATAAGAGAAGTAGTGCAAAGTGGCCTACAAGTAAATAAAGATAAAACAAAATATATAATAATAACCTAAAAATTTCGGTCCAACAATAGGATTTCAGTTGAAGAGAACATTTTTCTTTTTTCATTTTTTTTAAAATTCAATAACATTCTGTCACACTGACAATAATAATAGCAAGGTAAGAAAACATTCACTTCATATGTAGTCAAAACATACATACACACTAACAGCGTTTAAAACGTACAAATTGAGTTTTTTTTCTTTCTTTCAAAAGTGTTGAAATCCCAAATCATTTCTAAAAATCTCAAATAAACGGTGTATAATGCTATGATAAAGCCGGTTCTGATATAAGGCGGCGAAATCTGGACACTAACCAGCACACTAGATAGAAGAATTGAAAGATTTGAGAGAAAATTGGAAGGGAAGGATTGTTAGGACTAATGTAGAAAAGCTTAAATAAACTCATTCAATATAGCATCATACGAAGGCAAGGAAGTTAAGATGGACGGAGCATGTTGATCGGAGTAATCCATCAGGAATCCTCTACTCTACAAAAAATGGATCAATAGTAGACAAGAGGCCACATGCAAGATGAAAAAGCAGATGGGTAAATTGAATTAACAAAAATGATTCTATCCTCTTGAAGACGGTATGCTCCTGCAAAATCTGCTCATAGACCGGCAGTATCATTGTTATGATTTTGAATGGGATTTCCAAAAATATGGTCAATCTTTAACTCAGAGGGAATTCGTTCTAGACACCCCAAATTATGACGCTTATAAAATAATCTAGAATTAAAACCATTAAACGAGTATAGGTTCAATTTTATATTCGTTAATTTTTATAGTTTTTTTATTAATGTTAGTAATGTTTTACTATTTTTTTTCTATATTTGATATTTTTTTGTCTATTACGTTACTCTGAATTCTTAAAGAATTAAGTTAAGTTAACAATTAATATATATTGGGCTTTTTTACATTTATATTTAATGTGTAGTTGCAATTTAAACTGAAATAATTTCTCATCTATTATAAATATTTTTTATTTATTCTTTCAATGATTAAATATTCAATACACTATAGACGATCTCTGCCTTGATCCGTTGCTACAAGATTTACAAATAATATACAAGATATTAAGAAAATATCTATTATATTTTGGTTTTCGATGCAATAAAAGATTCTTTGTTCCATTGAATTCTCAAATAGGCCCCCCTACCAAATAAAAAATTAATAAATGTGTCCATATACTTTCCTCAATACAGCTAGTCGGTAAAAAACACTGCAGTATCACATTTAATTCTGCTAATATTCCGATATAAGTATGAATTTAAATCCCAAAATTATCTATCCATTTTCTGTCACGTATTACGTGAATGTTGAGAGTCTTGTGAAATAAAGGCTGTGTGAAGATTATTCAAAGCGATGGCGACGCTACGGTTTTTCGTTTTAGGTCTTACATTTTGTCGAAGGTATCTCCGTTTTAATTATTTAAATTACGATGTTCAATTTTAAATTTCATTGTTAAAGTGTTAAATTGTGTCTCCAAAAATTCTATTTTATGCTGATAAGCGGAAGAAAAATTAATTTTTAAAATCTTAATTGTAGTTGGTTTAATAATAATTAAGAAATGATATCATTAAACTAGTATATATTTTAATTTATATTATTTTTAATGGGTATTTTTGGCAACAAGTGGTAGAGTTGCATGCAGATAGATAACTAGAAAAAAATAGCCCATAATAGGCAGGGACGAAGAAGACTGGTTAAGGTGATAAATGTTCTACAAGGTAGCCTATATAAAGCTATAAAATATAAGAAAAAAAAATTATAAAATATTTTTATAATATAAACCTTCCCGCATTTTCTCCAGATCTCAATCTCATGTAGAATGCACTGCGCAGAAGGTTTTTGACCATCTGTACCTTCTTAACCTTCAGCAACTGAGAGATTTATTACCATGTTTATGGGATGAAATTCCTTGTGAAACAGAAACAACATTATAAGCAGAATACCTAATAGGTGCAAAGATATAGTGCGTAACAGAGGATATTATATAAAATATTAATTTGCATAAGACCACAAAAACCCTTAATTATATGTTTTTTTAAAAAAAAACTTTTATAAAATTTCCCAAAGTCAAATACACTTATATCTGCATTTATGTTCAATGTATTTTCTAAAAAAAAAAAAAATAAAGATTCTAGGAAAAATACATGACTAACAATATCTCTATTTATTTTTGAGCAGTATGTTTAAAATTCATTTATTTCCAAAGTTATAAAAACCAGGTTCTGAGAGAGAGAGGAGAGAGAGAGAGAGAGAGAGAGAGAGAGGAGAGAGAGAGAGAGTGAGAGAGGAGAGAGAGAGGAGAGAGGAGAGTGAGAGGAGAGAGAGGAGAGAGAGAGAGGAGAGAGAGAGGAGAGAGAGAGAGAGAGAGAGAGGAGAGAGAGGAGAGGAGAGAGAGAGAGAGTGAGGAGATGAGAGAGAGAGAGAGAGAGAGAGGAGAGACGAGACGAGAGTGAGAGAGAGACGAGATGAGAGAGAAAAATCTCTGGAATGGGAGATGATAGAGCCCGGAGTGAGACTACAGACGTCGGAGAGAGATGAGGGGAAGAAACGTCGAAGCAGGACAGAGGATAGGATTGTAAGAGCATGTAGAGCAGCAGTATCCAGATCGAGACGTGATTCGTGACACCGACCGTTCAGGTTACACGAAAGACGCAGTTGCAGCTAGCATAGGAGAGTGTGTTTGAGAGATATCGGAGCTCCCCACGTAGGAGTAGAGTGGGAGTCTGACGGTGGAGGGTTCACAAGTAGTAGGGTGGTCGTGACCCAATCATTGGAGTCGTGTGGGTTGTGGACCGAGGAGGAGTGTGAGTCGTCGAGTGTCTGTTGATCGGGTGTTCTGAGAGCGTAGGGGTTTTGGGGGCGTGAGCTTGGTGGGGGATGGGTAGGAGTGAGTGGAGGAGGGTCGTTGGGAGAAGTGCAACGGAGGAGGAGTGAAGCGTGCGATGAGGCGGAGAGGAGAGATGGCGAGACGTAGAGTCGCAAATCGACGTGTCTGTAATCCCAGGGGTTGTGACAGAGTGTAAACTGTGATGCTGGACGGAGCGGGAGTGGCAATCTGTGACAGATGATGAGGCGAACCGAGTAAAGTGAGGATCAATAAGTGAGCTACCGGGGAGGGCCAGTCCGGCGAGGCCGGATGCGTGAGGTCTTGCTGTGGCAGCGCTGTGGAGGGGTGGGTGGTGGTGGCGTAGTCTGCGCGGTGGTGGAGTGTGCGTCAGGTGCGGTGTTTAGTACGTCGGGGTGCGCGCTGAGGCGTTTGGTCGGGAAGCTCGTGCTACCGTTGTGCATCGGTATGCGAGTGCGGGGGTGGGACGGCGGGTGGGGTGATGGGTAGCGGACCGCACTTAAATGGTAGGGGGTGGCGGCTGGGATTGGGGGGTGGGTGAGGCTGCGCTTCGGATCTGGTGGATTATTGCGAGATGCCGGGGCAGAGCGGGCGATCGTGCGCGTCCGGTTCCAGGGTGTAGGGGTGTGCAATGACGTGTCGGTGTGGAGTGACATGGTCTTACGTCGAGCGAGAGATGGGGGTGTGTGTGCGCTCGACCCGAGCGGCGTGTGCGGTAGGCGAGGAGGTAGACGCGAGTCCCGAGACGGGCGGGTGAGAAAGGGGCCCGATAGCCCGTGCAGGAAGGTGGAGCTCGCGGAGCCCGTCGCGAGGCCCGTGGGGAAGAGCGTAGTAAAGGGATCGGGAGGGAGGTGGATCAGGGTGGGAGCGCGGAGGGAAGGAAAAAGCGGGAGAAGAGGAGAGAAGGGACGGAAGACGGAAGGAGAAGGAGTCGAGGTGAGGAGCGCGAGGCGGTGCGATCGGATGTTGCCCGAGTCAGAAGAGTGATGCGTCGTGAAGAGTACGGGTGGGGGGCGAGGATGGTGGAGGGTACAGGGGTGAGTGTTGCGAGGGGCAGGGAGGGGACGTCGCCGGTGAGAGTAAAGAACGTCATAATTACACTTGCGGTGAGTGTGCTGCGTTGAGAAGAGAGCCGTGGCGTGGTGAGTGGTACGGGGGGTGGAAGGGGGGTGGTGTGGGTCGAGTTTAGTGGCCGACGCCAGACGCGTGGTGGTGGTGGCGGGTAGGGTCGGGTGGAGGGTGTAGATCAGGGTGGTCGGGAGTGGATCTGGTCGTCGAGCGCTGGCGGCGTGGAGTGGGTGGAGTCCTCGGTGGAGACCGGCGGGGTACCAGGGAGGAGAAGGAGTTGGTATAGCCCGCGGAGTGGTGCTTCACTCATATACGTCCGAGGGTTGCAGCGGCGATCGATGGTAGAGGAGGTGGGTATGATCGCCGATTAGAGGGGAGGCGTGACGGATAGAGAGTAAGATAGACGACCGGAGATGACGGGCCGGGGGTGGGTAGTGCGTCGAATGGATCTGTCGGGGATAGGGGGTAAAGCGGGGGCGGACAGGATGAGGGAGCGAGCGAGAAACGCGAGGAGATCGGTAGCGGGGACAGCTTGGAGGGACGGGTGAGACGTGAGAGTGAGGCGGGAAAGATTGTAGTGCGGTGGGGCAGAGCGTGCCGGGCCAGGGATGAAGAGAGGAGACGGAGATGAAGTAAGGTCCACGGCAGACCGCTGGTCTGTACGTGTCACCAGGTAGTGGCTGAACGTGATCAGGGCCAGGTGGCGTCGGGTGTGTCCAGAGACCGGTGGGGGTGGCGTGAGGGCTAGCTTTCCGTGAGTGGTGTTGCTGCTGTGGTGAGGGAGTGTAGGAGTTGCGGGGTGACGACAGGTGGATGGGGGTAGGGGGTGGCGGTGGGATGGAGCGGGGGTTATGCGGGGACGGCGAGAGAGCGGATTGACGGAAGGGCAGCAGGTGGAGGGGTCATGGGAGAGGAATGCGAGCGGTGGGCGTAGAGAGTGGGGAGTCACGTCGGGGGGCGAGAGGATGGGCTGCCGAGGTGTTTGGTGATAGAACAGGGGGAGGGTGTTGGCGATGCCCTCGGTCCGTAGGGCGGAGGAGGGGGAGAGGCGGGAGTGGCAGGACGCCCCCACGGGGCGGCTGGCGTATCCGTGAGGTAATGGTCTGCGGAATAGACGGTGGGACAGAGGTGAGAAGAGCGTGAGTGATCGTTGTGTCCGGAGCGTGGGTAATGGAGAGACGCGAAACGAGAGAGGAGAGGATAAGTGGCGGGCGGCAGAGGAGTAATGGTATGATGAGTGAGGAGTGGGATGGGGATGACTGAGAGGGATAGAGGGGGCGACGATGGGAGCGAGTGAGAATGGGGAGCACGGAGTGGCAGAGCTTAGCCATTATGGATGTATTCCTTCCGAGGACCGGACAGATCGATATGCTGAGGATGTGTTTATGGTGAAAGAGAACTCCCCCACACACCGCCCCACCAACCCACGTCATGGATGGAGATGAGATAGACGGTCTGTGCGCTTGTTGCTGTCGGTGTCGGTATACGGGGGTGGGGCCCGGCGTGTAGTAGGAGCGAGTGTGTGTTTGGGAGCGCCCGTAACAAGAGGGGGCAGAGGATGATACGAGATGGAGGAGAGTAGTGGTGAGAGAGTTTGGTTGGCTTGAGAGAGGTGAGATGTGTGAGCAGAATTTGATAATTGCAGTTTTCTTCTAATTCATAGACGAGAGATGTTACTTGAATTGTAGTATTCAGTAGATTGACGAGCTGAGACGATTAAGCGAAATGTGACGAGAGGGATAAGGCAATTGCATGTAGAGATCTTATCTGAGACTAATTAGTTATTGGATAATGGCAGAGACTTGGATACAACATACTCTCGTGGAGAAGGGTATGAGACGACCTTATTTAGAAGAGAGGGAACGACAGCAGAGTTCGAGATTGTGATTTATGATGAATGAATAGATAGATATGAGGTAGGGTAGAGAAGAGCAAGAGATAAGGAGGTATGAAGTGCGGAGCATCGCGATAGAGAGCAACAGTAAGAGAATGAGCTAGTTAGTTGAGAGAGTGAGTGCTGAGAAGAATGTTCGCTGAGATAGGACAAGGGAGTGAGGGACGTATCTGTAGTGAGGAGACCGAGTAGGAGAATTCAAGAGCTTTGGGTGGGAGATTTTAGGGAGGTACGCTGTTGTTTTTTGGAGGATTGCCCGTGTAGATGACAGATTGGTCGGTGGTAGAGAAACTCGAGGAGGGACTGAGTAAGATGAGATGATTAGACTATGATTTGATATGGGGAATTGAGTCAGAATTAAGAGGTAACAGAAGGAATAGAAAGTTCTGATAGCTAGACTTTTCGAGAGAGAGAAGGTTCAATATAAGTATGAAAAATGAATCGTTAAAACGTTGAAAGGAAAGAAGCCCTGTAGACGAAGAAATTAAATAGAGATGATATGAGCACCCCGATTGTTAATTTGTTTACCGAAGAGTAAGTAGAGTGTTATCTTGGAACGGAGATTACCGTGGGGAGTATTGAGTGCCTAGATTTGGTGAGAGGAATGAATTGAGTCATTTTATTAGCGAATGATTTCGAGTAAATCGTCTGAAAAGGACGATTGAGGGGAACAGTTGTGTTGGTTGTGTGACACCCCCCCTCCCTCCCCCCCCCCAACCCCCCCCCCCCCTCACCCATCCGATGAGAGTATTGGAAAGAGAGGGGATGAGGACAGAGAGATAGGTGATGTCGGAAAAGGAGTAGGGATCTTCACCGTAGCGATCGATCTGTGAGCCCGACTCGGTCGAATTTGGCGTTGAGAGACCGGATGCCGGTGCGGAGTTGTAGGTGTAGAATGTGTTTCGTGGACCGTGTGAGGGGAGCATGAAGGGGTGGGGGTGAGTGTTGAGGGGCTGGGCTGAGATGGGGGGAGCTTGCAAGGAAATCACTACGACGGAGGCATTGGGGAGTGGAGGTTGAGACTCGACGAAGCGGGATGATGGTAGAGCGAGAGCAGTACGGGGACTTCGTGATGGTAGAAGAGATGTTGAAGAGTCGTGCTCCGAAGGTGTGACTGATAGGATATAGGATTGATTAGACAGGTGATTGGACGTGGGCCCGAGTGATGTGGGATCTGAGAGAGGCGAGTGGATCGGGGAAGGGGGGGGTGAGGTCTGGTCTGCCGCTTTGGTGAGAGAGAGTAGTGTGGAGAGAGAGTGGAGAGGTGGTATGGCGCTGGAATGGAGAGTGGAGTGAGTTGGGTCTTGGTTGGACCCTTGAGAGGCACTCCATGGCGTTGAGAACCCGGTGACCATGGTATGTGAGTCTGAGATTGTGGTTGAGGGGTAGATTTGGGTGTGATGATGGTAGTGACACGTGAGGACGAGACCGGTCGTCTCCGTTTGAGTGAGATGAGAGAAGACTTGAGGATTGACGATAGCGACACTGACAGAGACGTCAGGGTCGGGGACCTCGTGGGACGAGGTAGCTGAGGGTGGGGGTTGTGTGTGGTGATCCAGTAACAGGTGTTGCGGCTGGCGGACCAGTAGTATCAGAAGAGGCGGGGAGCGGAGTGTGTTGGGAGGTGTGTGGGGGGTGGTTGTGGTTTGGTTTAGGTCGTGTGTGAGTTTGTGCAGCCCAGTGGGGTGTTCCGTCGTGGAGATTTGGGTTCTGCGGAACTTAGTGTTGTAATCTTGGGACGAATGAGTGACTGGAAATTTACGGAGGGGAGGGAGTGAGGAAATGGGAGATGCGGGACTAGAGACCGTCAGGGTTTAAATGGGATGTAGGCGGAAGGGGGCCCGCTGGGACCGTGGGACATGGGAGCTGGCCGAGGAGGTGGATTGTTGGGAGGGGAGTTCGAGAGTGAAGGACGCGGATGGGGGAGTGCTTGGGGCTGAGGGGTTGAGGGGGGGTATGGAGCGTATGCGTTCGGAGTTGTGAGGGGCTGGACGGGGGAAGAGTGTCGTGGAGGTGAGGCGGGTGGGGGGGTGAGTGGGGGTGAGAGTGGCGCGGGTTGGACGTCTGAGGCCATAGGTGGGCGGGGAGTCGGGGACGGAGAAGGGAAAATGGGCGGGAGAGTAGAGGTGGGTGTAGTGGATGAAGTGCGTGGGGATGAGAGAGAGGAGTTGCGGGATTGGGCTTGGACTATGTGCAGATGCTGAGATTGAGTGATAACGTAGGGAGTATCCCTTTTGAGTGTTGTGAGGAGAGTAAGGAGTGCGCGAAATTGGAGCCCATGTGAGGGGTGCCTAGAATTGACTGAGGCGGTTGTGGTTTCTGGAGAAAGAGAATGATATGAGAGAATGAAGTAGGCGGTCCATGTACCGTGCGCGCCTTTGTCTGAGGTCACTTGGCGAGATCTGCGGAAAGGTAGGATTTAGACAGGCGTGGTGGGTGGGATGGAGTGGTGAGACTGCTTTCCTCCAATGAGGGTCGAGAATTAGTAATGAGAATGTGATCCTTCTTGTGCGATGTTACGTAGAAAGTTGAACTCGAAGATGAGGGGAGGATGAAGAGGAGCAGGAATATGTGGCCTGAAGAGGGTGAGCGTCGATTAGGGAAGTGACATGATTGGGACCGAGGCAGGAGGTAACATGACGCTGAGGGAGCGTGAGGCATATCTTGGCCTACTGGCTGGGCTTGGGGAGACAGCGAGACGGCAGTGAGGAACAAATGATGGGGAAGCAGTCGAATGCATTCGTCGATACACGAGCAGTGAGGAGGAGTAGGCGTGAACGGCAGTAGTGAGGTGACGGGAGGGTGGAGACAGTTCAGGGAGTTCGAGAGGAAAGGGAGAGAACTGCGAAGCTTCTCGTGACGTACTTTTGTGCTGTGGTTGGGTGATAGGGAGGGGGGGGGTGAGACGCACGTACTATCGGAGCTAGAGGAGCGTGTAGGAGTGTTTGGAGGAGTTTCGGTGAGGAAGGCTGAGGAAAGAGCGGACGTTTGGTATGGGAGTTGAGCGGAGGCGATGATGGGACGATCGTGAGAAGAGGAGAGTGGATGCCGCCATGAAAGAAGACAGTGATTTAATTGTGAGGAAGGAGATCATGTGCACGAATTCGGGAGAAGAGATTGAGCATAAGGGAGAGGGGGGGGGACGATCACGACAAGTGAGTGGAGTGGGGATTGGTTGATGAGAGAAGGTCCAATGGAGAGAAGGACTAGGGAGACGAGAGACTCTAGCAGAGAGTGAGGGGAGGGAACGTGAGGTAAGGCGGAGGGTAGACGTGGGGATGGCAAGATTGGAGAATTAGATGTCTCCTGGTTGGAAAGTCTGGTAGAGTAGAGTGGAGATATATGAAAGGGCGAGATGAGACGATTTGTTCTATGAGAGGTAGGATGATAGTATGAGGACGAAGGAAGTGGATAGTGAAACGAGATGGGATGTGGAGAGCGTAAGGGATGGGAAAAGTGAGCATGTCAACGTGACGGACGTTTGGTGCAGGGTTGGAGAGCAGTCATATGGTGATGCTGGAGGAGGGATCACGTCAGGAACGTGATGGAGTGGCGTGTATAGGTGAGGTGTGATCAGGGTGGAAGTTTTGATCCGTCGATCGTGCGAGAGTTGATCTTGAGAAAGTGTTTATGTGAAACTGTTGTGGAGCGCGATTTGGTAGCGGTGAAGTGTCGCGAGAATGACGTTCCAATGGACTGAGGGGGGTTGACATTTATTGAGCAGGCATTGCGGCTGAGCAGGACCCTGAGGGATTTCAGTGGGGGGGGCATCGAGGGAGGGGGGAGCGGGAACGATGTCGAGTCGTATAGGGATTACTGATAATGGAGAGTTGAAATATGTATGGAGTCTTTGACGAGGTGAGCCTTGGTTATGGTTTAGTGGCAATCAGTGGTTCATCAGACTGCCGAGAGAGAGCCGGTGAGAGGGAGGCGGGGGACTCATGAGATGACGAGCGTTATGAGACAGTTTTCCAACTATGAGTTAGCATAAGGAACGGAAGAGATACGGCGGAGATGAGAATGAAGAGGGATAATCGTGAGTGCACGCTTCGGGGAAGGTCGGACCGAATTGATGCTTCGGGAGTGAGACGGCGTCGAATGTCGTGATATGATGAATTGTGTTAAAGGCACCTAGACGATGAGTGACCGGAGGAGAAGAGTGATCGAGGGAGATGGAAGTGGTCTAGGAGCGGAGAGAGCAAACTGTTGTCGACTTGATTGAGTTGATGTGATGTGATCTAGGCGAGATTTGACCTCTGAGAACTGAGTCTAAGATGAGAGAGAGAGAGAGAGAGAGAGAGAGCTGAGGGAGAGAGAGATGAGAGGAGAGGAGAGAGAGAGAGAGAGAGAGAGAGAAGAGAGAGAGAGAGAGAGAGAGAGAGAGAGAGTGGAGAGAGAGAGAGAGAGATAGAGAGCGAGAGAGAGAGAGAGAGAGAGACGAGAGAGAGAGATGAGAGAGAGAGAGAGAGAGAGAGAGGGAGAGAGAGAGAGAGAGGACAGTCAGTCAGTCAGTCATTAAGATTTTTCATCCTAATTAATAGCACTGATATCCTTGGTTTCTGAAATATAAATTATTATCACTTTTAAATTGACTAAGAGAATATACGGAAAAAAAGATTTCTACTTTGCTCTCTGAACACTGTTATAAAAGTCCTTATTTGTGACAGATAGTAATATTTCTGAATAATTCAGTTTAAAAACCTTTTATGATATGAAAAATATCAGTGATTAATAGATTAAATCACAAATGATAACTATGAGACTCTAGGTGGAAGAAAATAAAAACCCAAATCAAAAATAAAGTTCACAATAAAGTAGCCAGAATTAATGTAGGTGTTGGTGCAGGATTCTTAACGAGGCTAGAATAATAGCTTCCGCCATAATCTACACATGGCTCCTTTCCACACCCAGCTCTTCCAAATATCAGCAATTGAAGATGGAATCGCGTTTCTACTTCCGAATCATAGTTCCCGAACCGAATATTCTCTCTCACCAAATTATTCTATATTTCTCTTGTAGAGAGTAATTTGGTATATTTCTCTTGTAGAGAATAATTTGCTATATTTCTCTTGTAGATAGTAATTTGGTATTTTTATCTTTTAGAGAGGGAGCCTTCAGTATCAAGACAATAAACTTGGAGGGTACATCTATACTTTTTCGTCTCCAGGAATTTGGCAATTCGATGCTTTACATTACGGCGGCGGATGACAAGGAGCATGTTATTCGGAAATTTGCCCAACATATGAGTTGGGGTAATATACAAAAAACAAAACAAAACGGATTTCTGAAAAAAGAATCAGTAACAGGGACACGTTAATAGTTTTCAAGTATTTCAACATTTCAGAATGAAGTAATTACGGAATAAACACTAATTTCACCAAAATGAATTTAGCTGTCTTTTTTAAATGCTTGCCTACACTCTTCTGTTTACGCCCTTGTTCCATGTCCCTATTATGTTTCATATTATGATATCATAAATAATAAGCATATATCCAATTGTCGATTCATGTTAATTTTTTAGCCATGATTAACATGTATTCTAAATTAGATAGTTAACTAAGTATTTAAAACTTTTTGAGCATTGTAATAGTTAAAGTTTTAGAAATTTATGAAATAAATATGAAACAATTCCCCGTCTGTTTTACCGTTTCTTTTCGTGTTATGTTTTCTTATTTCTATTGGAATATAGATCCATTGATGTTGGAGGAAATCTCCAACAACCTTCCTTCTGATCTCACTTTTTGATCGTTAAATTAGTAAATCCAATTTTTTTTGCATCCTGTTAGTCCATACTGGAAGCTAAAACACAGCTTCAGTTGTAGTTCACATTATAATACTCTGATAAATTAAAAAATTACACTTCACTTCGCTTTTTATTAATTTTCAACTTTTAGATATTACAAATAAATTTACATCTGCTTATTAAATGTAGCCATTTTTTGTTGTTGCATAAAGTCTTGAATAAGAATAAGAGATAAACAAAGATATTTAAGTAAAATATATTGATATTGAAGTATTTAAAAGATATTGAAGTAAAATAAACAAAGATATTTAAATGAGATTGTTATTAAGAGGCAATTTGTATTTCTTATTTATAATTACTTTTGAAAATAAGTTATTTTCAAGCATACTGTACAATTACAAATACAAAAACCGAGTACTATTGTAAAGAAATATTGTTCACAAACTAGAACTGCTAAAATAATCAGGCAGAAAAGCTGTCAGTTTTAAGGTCTACAGACTAAACTTTACGACGGACAGAAACTATGTGTAATGTATACACCAACAATAAAATAGTTTTTTATTCTAGATAAAACAATAATATATAAGACCCACTTATAGTACAAATTAGAAATAATTTCATCAAACTAATGAACTTAGACGTATAACACTACTGCTTTGGATAAAGGCACACAACGGCGTTTATGATATTGGGATACTGGTTAATAAATAAAAGTTATAAGTTCCCAAACTAAAAAACACAAATCTTTATTTCACCGTTTGACTGAACAAAATAAATGTTTCTTGTTCACAAATAAAAATGAACAAAATCAAATAGTGTTCTTTTAAAAAATAAATAAATGTCAAGGGGAATAAATATTCAGGACGCAGTCTTTAAAAAAAAAAAATAATTTTTTATTTGTGCCAACGTTTCAACCCAAACATGTGGGTCATCTTCAGGGCGTGGTTCGAGCACTGAGTGATTTAAACTACTGACCCTGAAGGTAACCCACATGTTTGGGTTGAAACGTTGGCACAAATAAAAAATATATTTTTTTTTTAAAGACTGGATCCTGAATATTTATCACCCATGATATGTAGAACATTCGACTAGCTTCCCTCAATAATAAATAAATGTCAACTTGAAGAATATTTACATAAGTTTAATTTTTGTGGTAATACCTCTCTGGCAGATGTTCTTGTGTCCAACCTCTTCGGGCAAAGACAAGGCCACCGTAGGCTAATTATAAAACAAGTTAAAAATAACTTTGGTGCCATATACGCACTTCGCCTGACCTAAATCTTACGAGATGCAGTAAAAGCGCCGGTCAAAGTCTCCAAAATTCCACATATGAGACATATGGAAAAAATGAAACATATGGAACCCACCGTTCTACTGGGAGGGCCCTCTGCTTTGGCATTACGACTACTCTTGTAAAACACAAATTGCTGAGGTAGCTGGAGTTCAAACAAAACTAAGGAATGTCAAAAGATTATTAAAAAAGTCAAAAACAATAGTTAGAAAAAAATTAAAAAGAAAGCCAGTTTTGAGTACCCGTCACAAATTAGACCGGAAGGCCTTTGCTCGTATTGCAATGCCATGGACTGAGTGAATGAAAGTCATCTTTAGTGTTGAAAAGAAAATTCAATCTGGATGGGTCAGATGGATTTTAGTATTATTTTCATGACTTAAGAAAAGAAGAAAAATTGTTATAAAGGCATCAAATGGTAGGAGGAAAGGTTTGGGAAGAGTTAAGGGAAAAGTTAAGGTTTGGGCATCAATTGGTTACAAAAAGAAAGTAAATTTGGTATTTGTTTCTTCAAGAGTAAACTAAGCTGAATATAAAAATTTGTTAGAGGAACAGAAGTTGACTTTTAATGACATGTCTGAAGGCACACCAGTTTTCCAGCAAGATAACGCCCCAATACATTCAGCAAAAATTATTAAAGACTGGTTTACTGCAACAAAATTGCCAAATTAGACTGGCCTGCTGTCTCCCAGACCTGAACATTATCGAAAATGTTTGGGGAACTTCTTTCAAGAAGGGTGTACATCTGAGTCAAGACAGTTCGGAACAATCGAGGATTTGAAATCTGCAATTCTGGCTTCATGGGAACAATTACCTCAAGAAACAATCAAACAATTGTACGATTCATTACCAAACAGAATTTTTGAATTAATAAATGGTGGTGGAAAGGCCACGAAGTATTAAAATGAGTTTTATTTATTTTTACCAGGGAGCGTGTCTAACATTTTGACTGGCCTTAACTTTAATTTGAAAAATAAAAAAAAATGTATATATTTTTGGCTTGAGAAACAAAATACAAGCAGGCTGCTGATTAACTTCAGGTGAGTGATAGATTATTTTAATACTGTTTTACGGTAATTTGAAAAGATGGGAGGGTAGGGATAACAATTATTGAAGTGTTGTCTAACATTTTGGCAGTGAGTGTATGTGAATGCCCCGAACCATTGCTTTATAAAAAAACACAAGAAGCAGTTGAAGGAGTTTCTCAACAACAGAGGTGTTTGGGTGATTTACTAAATTTTATTTTTTTTTAAATATTTTTTAAAATGTTAATATGTAATCAAAGAAACTTTCGCTGGTCGTATTGGAAGTGTTTTGCGGGCTGAGGTAGTTAGGAGCCCCTTGCCTATGCGTTCTTTTCAAACGTTGTCTAATTCTGTTACCTTAAAATACTTTTAAGATTTAATCTATAAATCTTTTTAACTGAAACTGTA